GGTCAGTCTATGCATGATATGTATTTAAGACAGACACAGTGCTTAAATTGGAAACGCAACTGGCGAGACGGCGATTGAAAAAGCGCGGTCGGGTGTAGGAAGTTTGGGTTACAGAGGTGTTCGAAGGAGAAGGGGTTCATATTAAAGAGGCCCTGCTGTACCTAATATTGATCAATAATGTGAATTTAAGTATCATTACTGTAATTATTGAGATGACGTTGCCTTAGTCTAATGATTCGGTCAGTCGCGTGCCCCAAAGATTTCATTCATTCATGCGCCGCCAAAGGAAGATAATTATTTACTTAAACGGAATTTTGTAAGACTCTGCTTCAATCACTTAGTTCAGGCTGTGCGGAATGAGTGGGGCCCATCTCACTAAAAACCAGACAATATTGCACCTGTCTCTAGCACACATTTTGAAGAATAGGTATGTCTCCATAATGTTTCACCCTCAAGGGAGGTAGAAATCGTGGAATCCTAGGAAGCCTGACCATTTCTTACATTGGTTAGACCTAAAGATATTATAACATAATTATTTGCCGCTGTGAAGATTTATTCGCCAGTTTTTCTTCGCAGCTAAAAAAGTTAATTCATTAATGTTTTAACAACCAAAGATCTAGTTAAAAGTGTCTCTCTAACTTCTTAATGGGCTGTTGACAACCACAAACATTTAAAAATTCCTTGAAAAATATTTTCCCAGTAGAAACTCTCCCGTCCCCAAAGGGTCGTTGGAAGTCTCTTTGCTTAAAGCCTTATTCTGAGAGTGAAGCATACATCTTATTTGCATCGAATTTATGCAGAAAATAATTTATTTATCTTCCGCGAAGCTTCGTTAATGATGTATAAAAGCACAATATTAAGTGATGAAAAGTTGTTGAGAATAACTTCAACTTCAAGCTTAGAAGGTAATTTTCAACACCAAACGTTTAATAAAAATAATAAAAACGATTTATTATTAATCAAAACTGATTTTTGTAACTATAAAAACATATTTAATCGAGATCTTGCGACAAAGATTTAACGATATGGTGCTTCAAAGATTAGATAGGTACTGTTCATTTATTTCAAAAGAAGGTTCGATAAATAAAATGTTAAAAACACTATTTGGCATGTTATTCGTTACCAAAATAAAAAATAAATTAAATTAGATATAAAAAAGGGAAAATGCATTCAATTGTCAACATTTTACACAATATTTAACAAATTTTAACTTTTGAGGACCTCCGTGACCGAATAGTTTGTACGCCGGGTGTCGCCGACTCTAGAGGTCCCGGGTTCGAATCCCGGTGGGGGCAGATGTTTGTGTGATGAATACGTGCATTTGTTCTACAGTCATGGATGTTTAATATGTATTTCTATATAAATATACTTATTATATGTACAGTATTTATATTCTATCCGTTACCCTAGTATCCCATAACACAAGCCTTATAGTGCTTACTTTGGGGCTAGGCTAATTGGTGTGTGTGTGTGTTGGAAATATTTATTTATTTAATATGAAAAATCTTTTATTAAACCTACTCACGTTATTATTATCAGGGTAGCATGACTTACACAATTTTATATTTATTTCATTATTTATTACCAGAAATACAATGAATGTCAAACTTCATGCCATGGGCATTCTCTACCTGTCAACCAGTGCGGCTATAGAAGACGTATGTTATGGCGATAGAGTGCGAGCTACTAAAGTTTAAAAAAAAGCATATTACCTATATTCGTGGGAAGCAATATTTATTTGTTTGAATAGTTCCTAATAATCTTATAATTTAAAATTGATATTATAAATTGTTTGTGTGTTTGTCTGAAGGTATTTGGATATTTGGTACGCATATTGTGCTTCGGAAGGCACGTTAAGCCGTTGGTCCCGGCTGCATCTGCAGTCTTTAGCACCTGCCAATGCGGGTAATACCACTTTAAAATGAACTAAAGTTAATGGGCATGAAGTCGCGGGCAAGCGCTAGTATTCTATATGCATCAAAATGTATCAAACGACAAACTAACAACATTTGCTGCAGAAACCCCGCAAAGGAACAATGCACGAACTATATTTTTGCAGTCACCAAAAGGTCCGTGGAAATATTGTATTATGCCCTTTTGATAGATTTTTCATGGAGCGAACCAGAATAATACCGGACGGGTCGGGCGACGGACAATCCCTATTGTTGGTTTTGATTAAATTTCAACAACGCGATGCATATTGTTCTTTTTGCATCACTAGGGGAGTAGACAAGTAGACAGTACTTGGATGTACGAACGAGAAAATATTTTTTGAAGTTCTCTGTTTTCGTTGAAAGTTGGGAGTGCATTCACGGTCATTAATTTTGTAATCGCATTGAATATTTTGCATTCAACGGTACATTCATATGCGCTAAAATGCTTCATTTCTCCGAATATCGGAGCTTGCCGACGATAAATAAAAGGTTGGTATTTGTTCTTCGGCAAGACAAAATAAAAAAATATAAATAAATAAAATAATAAATAATAAATAAATATTTCCAACACTTACACCAATTAGCCTAGCCCCAAAGTAAGCACTGTAAGGCTTGTGTTATGGGATACTAGGATAACGGATAGAATACATATACAGTACATGTATAAGTATATTTATATAGAAATTCATATTAAACATCTATGACTGGAGTACAAATGCTCGTATTCATCACACAAACATCTGTCCTGGGATTCGAAGCCGGGACCTCTCGAGTCGGCGATACCATGAAACCTGGCGTACAAACCACTCGGCCACGGAGGTCGTCAAATATAATATGTTTTTCATGATATAATTATACCAAATACAGAACCACTTGGAGCTCGATGGCGCAAGTGGTTAGCGCGTTAGACTGCGATCGTAGAAGTTAAGCAACTTTCGCAGTGGTCGACCATTGGATGGGTGATCAAAAATGTACTATCTTGAGCACCTTCGTGTTTCAGAAGGCATGTTAAGCCGTTAGTCCCGAATGCATCTGCAGTCGTTAGCACCCACCAATCCGCACTGGGCCCGCGAGGTGGATCATAGCCCAAACTCCCAATTCCATCCATAGGGAAGGCCTGTGCCCCGACAGTGGGGACATTACTAGGCTGATGATGATGATGAACCAAATACAGACGTCACACAAAAGTCGATCCTACAAAACCATCAAAACGAACAATCTCTCCGATTGATCAATACTTCAAAAATATGTCAAGGGAGGTCATCGTCAAAGACAAAAGTGAATTACAACTTTAACTTCAATGCGCTACTATTTTTTAACAATTTTGTTTAAAATAAAACAAAGATAAGTAATTTTTTAACAAATTATTAATTAATTGAAAAGTGATAAAGACGGGGCAAAATAAACAAAATTCTGTCTAGTCCGTCAGTTACATTAACAAAAATTAATGAACAATTGTTTTTTTTCTTTGTCAAAATTCGCGTCAAATTTTAAGAAAGGGGGTCATCACTTCTATTTAAATATTGCACCAAGACGAGATGGCATGCGACATTTCAAATCAATATAATTATATCTGTAATGTTTTTAATTATGTGAAAATCATGCCTATTCATCAATTCATCCAGTCGTAGCAATACTCGTGGTCTATTTATTAAGTTCTTTTTTATAGAATGGCAGATTTTATTATTGTTTTTGATTTATCTAACATAAAGAGTTTCTTATTTTACCGATTGAATTACTTAGCTAGTTCATATGAAAGCTTTTGTTTTTTTTTTTACAACACACACCAATTAGCCTAACCCCAAAGTAAGCACTTGTGTTATGGGATACTAGGGTAACGGATAAGAATACATATACAGTACATATATAAGTATATTTACATATAAATACATATTTAACATCCATGACTGGAGTACAAATGTTCGTATTCATCACACAAACATCTGCCCCCACTGGAATTCGAACCCTCTCGAGTCAGCGTCGCCATAAAACCCGGCGTACAAACCGCTCGTCCACGGAGGTCGTCTAAAGTCGAAAGCTGTTCAAAATTAATATTAAAATACTGGTCTCTCCTAATTTGAATTCTGAATAATTACATACATAAACGGTATAACATCAACGACTCGAAATTTTGAAAATCGCACGCTATGGAAGTAAATATTCGCGGCGGGAAGCGGACGCGCCTTGTCACATGAGTTCTATTTTTTTTTTCGAAGACATGCGTACTTTTATCCTGTCCGGTCCCTCAATGTCCTCAGTTGTTCGGGGGATATTTGCACGCTGGATTTTAATACCCCATGTGCTTTACTCGATGCAGTTGTAAGCGATTTATTTTGGCGGATAAAAAATAGCACGTGCAGAAGTCCCTCGTCTGCGCAGGCTATAACTTTTGTTTTTTTTTTATTTTTATTTTTTTTAGTTATAGGGGGCATACGAGCAGACGGCTCACCTGATGGTAAGTGATCACCGTCGCCCATGGACACTTGCAACACCAGGAGTATCACAAATGCGATGCCGGCCTTTAAGGAAGGAGTACGTTCTTTTTTTGAAGGTTTTTGGGTCGTATCGGTCCGGAAACACTGCTGGCGACAACATATTCCACAGTTTTGTCGTACGTGGTAAAAAAATTTGACAAAAACGCACGGTTGTGGATAGCCACGCATCAAGATGATGGGGATGAAATTTTTGTCGCGATGTACGATGGCGAAATGCAGCAGCTGGATGTCACTGGTTTACCGTAAGTTGTACGCACGTTACTTGCCCAATAGAAGAATTCAATTACTTATCAATAGCGCACTACATTGGCATAAAGCACACACAATTAACTCTTACGGCTCAACTAATTAAAATGATGCAAATAATTCCATTGTCCACCGTCTAAAATCAATCATTTATGTCGAATGCAACTTTCTTACAATTGCAGCGTAACGCTCCACCGGCACCGGCGGGCGCCGACGCCAGCGCACCGAGGCTTCGTCCCTGAGACTGCGCTTGCGCACACGTTGCCAAATGCTTTCCTCATCCGCACTATAAATAGTGATAACGGCAGCAGACTATCAACAAACACAACATGAAGGTGATAGCGGTAGTGGCACTGGTCTGCCTAGCGGCAGTCTGCGCTAGGGAGCTCGGCGAGGAGCAAAAGGAAGACCTCGCGGTAGCCGCCACCCACCATAAAAAAGGGCATGATCACCACCATGAGTCAGGAGGCGGCAAAGAGCATCATGCTCATCACCATCACGAGCATGGCCATCATGACCACAAGGGTCACAAAGGTCACCATCATCACCACAAGGGTGATCACGGTGATCACGGAAAGCATCATCACGAGGGTCATCATCACGAACATGGCGGTCACCACAAGAAGCATTGGGATGAGCATGACCATCATGGCCACCACCACGAACACGGTCACCATCACAAAGGAGGCAAACACGGCCATCACAAACATCACGATAAGGGAGAACACACTGACGGCTACCACAAGAAGTACCATAAGGATCACTTCCACAAGGACCATCACTTCTACGATGATCATCATAAGGAAGGCAAGCATCACAAGCACGGCCATCATCACGGCCATCACGAGAAGCATGACGGTCATCACAAGAAGGGCGGTCATCACGAACATGGCCATCATGAGCACCATCATGGTAAACACGGGCATCATGACAAACATCATCATGATGAGGACCACAAGGGACACAAGGGTCATCATGGTCATGATGAGCATCATCATCACCATCATGATCATGGCAAGAAGGGAGGTCATCACGACCATAAGGAGTGGGGCCACCATCATGGCAAGCACTAAACTACCTAAGTACATCTGTGATATTAGTTTATACTTTTTGTACGGGTCCTTTTGTAACTGTTGTTAAATTTGTGATTGTTGTTAAAGTTTTATATTTAAAAAATGTTAAAAATAAATTAAATCTTATTTTTAAACTACCTGTTTTTGTCATTTACTCCTTCTCCATGGGAATTAGAAATAAATATGATTAATTGAGCGTTATTACATGGCGAGATTGAACCTGCGACTATTACTTTTGCAGTTAGTGTCATTGACCCTTAGATCAAGTAATGTTTTTATACTGCCAAAGCAGTAAAGTCAGAGACTTTATGGTTTTGTTATGTAGTATGGATAAACATGCACTATTTTACATTTAGTCGCTAACCCGAATACAGGTATACCAATGGAATTCGGGTAAACAACTAAACATAAAAATCATTTATTTCAAGCAAAATAACTCATAATCATAATTCATAACTATAGAAATAGGTACATCCTACTAAAAATATAACTAGCCATTTATTTTATTTAAAATTAATTCAAAACATTAGTATTTTATTATGATAATATAGGTCAAGTTCAACAAATTATATGTCACAAAGAAAAATATGTTAATAAATTACATAATTGAAAATCTATTAATTTCCATCAAAGAAAAAAAATAAAATTCGAATAATTTCTTTCGTACACCCAAATACGGGCTAACGACCAAGTGTAATTGAGCCATAATACTCTATAACAGCAAATTATTTACAGAAGTGGAAGTTTTTAAATCGGCGGGCACGGTAGTGACCCCGTCAAGTCGTGCGCGAAGCAACATGGAGCACCCCCACTAGAGTCCGCATCACACAAATTTTGTTTGGAATCAAAATCGCCAAAGTCGGTGGGGTGCAGGGAGGTCAGCCCCGCTGTGATTGGACGCGTCAAGGTCAGATCATATACTCAGTGCAGCGAAGTGATGAGGGTAAGATCGATTTTAGAAAATATCGGTATTTTCTATCGATAAACAATTTAGAATAGAGGCCTAGTACTTTGGTGCGCAAATGCGTAATCATACCCTCTCCACTTTCTTACAGCGTTCTAATTACATGACGCGACTAGTAACTACATACTAAATTATATATAAGCAACACAAAAAAAAGCACGTCCAGGACAAGAAGTATTAATGCAACGATATTAACTACCCTAGATACAACAACACGAACAAAATCGTGGCCGAAACGTGTCCAAAAGGTACATTGGACGATCCACGGAGGTCCGCAAGATGATCGCATGGTCAAAAACAATATAATGCCTTATTTAAACATTGAAAGTCACCTTTAATTCATACGGCATAAGGTCTTAATTAAAATGCATGCGTCAAGTTCGTAAAATTTTACGATTTAGTGTTATATGTGAAAGAATATAGACCTTATTTTTTTTTACTTTTCACGCGCAATTCTGAATGCGCTGTTAGCAATATAGCAGGTACAGACCGCGAAGAAAAGACATGGCTAAGGGCGAGGTATAACCGACCATGCATTTGAATATCACAAATATTTTAAATTAAATCAGTTTATAGTAAGTATTACAACAATAAAATTTGCTTTAAAGGCGTTAATTAAAAAACATTAATTAGATACCCGTCGAAAGAACGACACTTTACGTACTATTAGTATTTTTCTGCATTTTTTCACGGAACTCTTTGGCATCTTGACTTTTCAACGGTCCGCGTGTGACTGTGTACTAAGAAGTGCTTGAGTGGAGTTCAAGCACTTCTTGATTGGGACCACAGACTATTTAGATATTGGGACACATTTTGAGCGGTCGTGGTGTATCTAGGGTATTTAATATCGTTAATTCTATGTCTTTATCTAGGTCATAAACTATGCGCACTTAATTTCATACAAATCCGTTTAACCGTTTTAGCGTGAAAGAGTAACAAATATGCATACAAATTTTCGCGTGTTTAAAATTTTATTAGGATATGTTTGTCTTCAATCAAATAAAAACTGTTGGTTGTATACTTATGACATCTATTATTGTATACGATGAAATAAATAGTTTTTATTTATTTTTTCCATTTCCATAGCTGACAAACTTATCGACAAACTTACGCGTTGAGACATGAGCTGCGCCTGAGTCACTAGCAATACACGTGCCGGTGTGAGAGCGAGATAGCATATATGATGTAGCCCATGCGAGAAAGGGATAGTGTAAAAAGACATCAACGCGTTCACCAAAAAATAAATACATTAACAGCAATTTAATATAACAGTATTTTTCTCTTTTTGTAATGCATTTAAACTAACCAGTGAAAAGTAATACCATTTTTTTGAAGACTGGAAGTTGTACTCGACTTTCCACACAATTTAATTGCACAGTACGGCATTTTTTACAGTTTTTTAACACGAAAACGAGAAAAGCAGTTCAACCAACGCTCGGTTACCGAATGAAACGATGTATCGCGACGTCTGTAGGCGTGCCTCACGCATAGGTAATTTACTACTTAAGCTTGGCGTAAGCGCTTGCCCTTGTATGCGGACTCTAGTGGGGGTGCTCCGTGGCGAAGCAAACACTGCCGTACCATCCTTTACTAGAACCATTTCGCCACATTTTCAGGCCCCTATTTGAGAACCTCTGGATGAGACCAGAACGCAGAAATTTTCGTCATCCAGTAAGCTATAATAACATACTTAAAATCCAAAATTTCAAGACTGTAGGTCATTTAGTTCCGAAGTTAAGCGAAAGCAAAGTTTCGCATTTATGGCACTCACTCACTCGTGACCATCAGAATAGAATTTTTAGAGATAAATAAGCAGCTCCATCGAGACTTGGCTAGTTTTTTACAGAATGTTTTTGGTGGGATCAGAAATGTTTAAAATATCAATGCTTCGTCAATAACCATTGAAAGTGTAGGTACAATAAACTATTATTATAATGTTAGGACTTTTTAGAGATTTTGTAACATATTAAGTTGCTCAATGTTGTAACAAAGGAATATGAAGAATTTCAATTACATTCAAACCAATATACCAAATAATATAAAATGAAATCTTAATAAACAAAAACACGCCACACGAAAAAGAAACAAAAGGAGTCAAAAATGTATAAATTTTTGTAATTATAAGTATTACCTATTAAAGACACGAAAACTAAAATAAGAAAATGGTTACCTACCCTAACTATGATTATACCAAATCTTTGCTGTTAAACTAAGTTCCCTACTTTTTGACTTGCACGCACATTCACTGAAACACACACATACATACACACGCACACACACACGCACACACACACACACACACGGACACGGACGATCACGCGCACTTATTTATTCTGATCGAATTCTGATAGCTTTAATTATTTCAATAATGTATGTCTTATTGTAAAACTGTTATGTTACATAAATAGTTATGATCTATGTATTCGGAAGTGGGCACTGACACCTGTCACACAGGTCTTCATCCTATTATAGGGGTCAGGAACTACATTATAAACAAGTATATAATCAATTTATTATTATTAATTAAAGTCGAATGTGGGAAAATAAAACCTGCATTTTAATTTCCATCAAAATTAACAAGCCACAGTTAAAGTTAAAATGGTAGATAAATTATCAATTTGGGACAGAATATTTTTTATGAAATTTTAATCTATGATAAAGATAATCTTTAAAGAAACCAAAATCATCACACATTACAAGCCTTATTAGGGTACTATTTTTGGAAGAGTAAGGACGCGTACACATAGCGTTTCGTTTCACAGGTCCATTATTTGAAGATTTATGTAGTATTATGAGCTAGTTTACACACGACAATATTCCCGATGCAGTAAAAAAAACCCATACACAGCGGAAATACTGATCCAGTAGCGTCTTTTCGTTGAAAATCGATCCCGTTAATAATATGCAGGTCTGATAATAATAGCCTGCAGTGACCATCCGTTGAAAAGAATCCTGTAAAAACGGACAATTTATGTGTACGCTCCTTTGTAAGGACAGCCTTAAAATCTTCAAGAGGACACATCTTTCCCAACTTTATTGAACTTTATTAACCAAATAAAAAAACGACGGGTTGCACTCCGGGAGTGCCGGCAGAAGTGAAAACTTGAATATTAACGTTGTGCATTTTTGTATTTTGGTATGGTTAGGGAATAATTTTGCACGAATATCTTTAATTATCAGTATAAAAGTACTATCATTTATGTGGTAGAATTCAATATTTATTTATTGCGCTATCGTACACAAACATGACAATTTATATTACATTAAAAAGTTTATCTCTCAGAATTTCATATTTAAGCGCACCTAGCGACATCTATTGTAAAAAAAAGCATTTTCTTCGCAATAAAGCTGCCACCTGGACGTCCTAGATACAGACTTATTATTATACGATAAAATAAAATATTACTATGATTCGTCCAATATATTGAAAGTCAACAACCTTTCCAATTTTATTGTTTTCGTCCCACGAATTTTCGATTAGGTCACGTGTCCGGACGCGATCAGACCTGACGCGAGTTTAACATTTTTACCCATTACAAAAAAAGTGTACAACGCCGCTAAAGAAGTTTTCACTTCAAAATATTAGTAAATAGGTACACAATGTAATGAATCCCATTGTGTCCATAGAACAATTGGCATTAAGTCGTGATTATTATAATTAAATACTAACCCATATTTATATAACACACTTTATTACTTGAATCACCTTGTTACTGAAATTTATCAGCATGAATAATCATACCGTTTGCAATTACACTATGAGCTGTCAAGATTGTGTCATCTCAACTGGTTGCTGTGTGCCGTGATTCTATTACTAAGATTGCTGTATCCTAGACCAGGGAAAATGTAATTTTATTAGTTCGCGAGTTTAAAGTCGAGATAGGAATTTTAAACCACTTTATTGTATAGCAATTTTTAGGCATATTTGAAGTGAAAACTTCTTTAGCTCCGTTGTGATTTCAAACTCGATGACACTGGAAAGCGACTGAATTTGTTACAATGTATGCATAATTTTGTAACTATCTACAAGAGACAGATAGTCGAAT